CGAGGAGCTTGCAGTGACGAAGGAGGAGATGGAGATGTTCGTGGATCTTCATCCTCTCACCAACACCACGCCTTATACAGTTATGGAGAGCATGTCGGTGGCCAAAGCTCTGGTTCTGTTCAGGCAAGTGGGGCTCCGCCATTTGCTCATTGTTCCTAAATATGAAGCAGCTGGGGTAAGCTCTCATGAAAATCATCGTCTTCTTCATCATCATCATCTTCTTCTTCTTCTTCTTCTTCCTCCATTGCAGGCATGAACCAGAGATCTCTGCTTCAAAGTTAATTTGTTTGGTTTTGGTTTTGATTTGGATGCAGGTTCCGGCTGTGGTTGGGATTTTGACGAGGCAGGATTTGAGGCCTTACAACATTCTGAGTGCGTTTCCTCATCTGGAGAGAATTAGGAGCAATCACAAACGAAATTGAACTCAATTTCTTCCATTCCAGAGACACATTTTCTGGTTTTTTGTTGCATTCCTTCTTCATAATTGTTTCCATTATTTACCTTTTCCTCCCGCCAATTTTGTGTTTCATTTATTTAATTTTACAATAAACAAATGGATTGTCATTGTCCATTCAATTTTGATTTTTTTTTTTCTTTGCTTTGAGTTGAAATATAGTTATGGTCAATAAAGTTTACTTTCATTGTTAAATTCTACTTATTCAGTAGTTATCAGTACTTAAAAATTTAAATTTTGAACCATCAAAGTAGTTGGAGTGTTGTCGGGGTGGGGCAGGGGCGACATGACTTCTTCATTCCCATCCTCGCAAAATTTATAGATTCTTTGCGGAGAATTATTTTTTCATTTGTTTTTTTTTTTTATTCTAAATTAAGTTAATTCTTGAATGGTCAAAAGCCCAAAGAGATTCTCCAATCACGTCACTTAATCGGTTTTTAACTGTTTACTAAAATTTGACAGAGTATTTTAAAACTAAATTAAAAATTGAGATAAACCAGAAGAACAACATACTTATTTAAACACGATTTTATTAGGTGGATGCTCATTCAAACATAGAATCTGTATTTTCAATTATGATAATTCACATACATATATTCAAGAAGAGTAGATGATGGAAATAAACTAAGCAAGAGATAATTTATACTAATCCATGTTATTTCCTTCTCATTTCATATTAATAATCCACGATCGTAAATCTAATAAATCCCAAATTATATGTCTCAGCAATACAAAGAAAAAGCAGGACAAAGGATTTAAAAAGAACCCCATAATCCAAAGCCAAAAACTCCTTTAAACCCATAGATAAAATAAAACCAAACAAAATGAATATAATTCTAACAACAAACCTCGTTTACAAAACCATGAAACTCAAGGCATAGAAAGCCAGCAGGAGGAAGTAGCCCACAAGAGAAGTTGAAGAAGAAGCTGCGTGAGATGAAGTTGGTGATGGAGTAGAGGAAGCAGTGCCACTGCCTACTTTGATCTTCACTTTCATGCCTTGGCTGCAATGCCCAATTGTCCCACAGGCAAAGTATCGGGTTCCGGGCTTCGTTAGTTTGATCGCGTCGTTGCCACTGCTCTTCGACTCTATCGCGCTCCCGATATCGCAGTTCTTGTACGCACTCTCGTCCGGAAGCTCCACCACACTATGCAGCCCCGAGGCGTACTTGAAAACTGCCCAAAATATCACAATTCATCGATTCTCTAAGCTTCGTCGTAAGGATTTGGCATAGACATTACATTAAATTTCTACGATGTTTATGAATATAGATGACAACAGTCCAAAATAAGGGTTCATGAGCTTAACTCAACAACGGTAATTAACATTTGTCTTTAACCAAAATGTCATACGTTCAAATCTCCCCATCCCACTTGATCGTATTCAAAGAAAAAATATATATAAGATTGTTTAGAATGGAGAAATGGGACAGAAATGCATACCAAGTTGATCACCAACTTTGAAGGTCTGGGCAGAAGCCCAAGAGTCAAAATCAATGGATTCTTGCCAACCTTGGCTTCCCCCAACCACATGTCTTTGATCTGCCCAAGCCTTTTCTGCCATTGAAGCAGCAGCAACCATTACCATTACCAACACAACTCTCCACAATCCCTCCATCTCTATTTGCTTCCTCTAGAATCCTTAGCTGCTTGATTTTTGGTGCCTTCTCCTCTATTTATGCACCTCTATAACACCATCTTAAAAAGCACCTTTTTATCTTTCCTACCTCGAAAGAAAGAGATAACGATTCATTTGCTTACCTTCGATTTCCAAAATTTATATACAATTTTAGTAATATTTTTCTAACATGAGAAAACAAGAAACAGGGAATAATATTGTAAACAAAAAGCAACAAATTGGGTATGGCTCCACGCATTAAAATATTAGAAATCTTTTCAAAAAGTTGGAAAATTAAAATCTCATTTCCACCTCTTGTTGTTTGAACTAAAAAAATCATGGAGGGAATGCTTTAGTTGATGTTGAAATGTGTGGATTTGCCGCAAAGCAAAAATGTGGTTGGTTTGAGTGTTAAGAGAAAGCTTGGAGTTGAAACAAAGCTATGCTCTGTAAATGGTCTGATTCATCAGTTGTTGGAAGCTCATAAAACGACAAGTCGGTCGGCTCCATTGCCATTATCAAATAGCTTTCTGTCTCTATTAAGTTCACTTATTCATCGAGAATGCTTTTGTTGAGCAAAACTTGCCAACCATATCACCCGGCCATGATTGGCTCTCTTTATGTTTAAGCAACCAAATTGCATTGCCATTCCAAGGGTTAAAAAGGTGACACCGCTTTGATTATCTAATTTATGTGAAAGAACTTAGTGCCGAAATCCAAAAAGTAAAGATGACCCTTTTGTTGGAAATGCGACCGAAGTTCCACATTAGCTAGCAACATGGATATACAAGTGAAGTAACAACATTTTCATTGGTACAAGACCTTTTAGATGATTCTAAAAGTAAAACCACAAGGACTTGTCCAAATTAAAAATTGACACAAAAATCAATTTATACTTGTCAGTTCATGTTCAAGTCTAAGAAAATGTGATTGGATAAACTCCTTAAACAAAATCAATTTGTTTTATGAGAGTATTGTTGGTTTTAGTTTTTGTTCATATGCTATTCAATGTGTGGAATCTGGGGGTGACTTGGTATAACCCTGCAACTTCTAATCTGAAGATTGGTAAACCCTTTTCCTTCTTTCTTATAGGGAGTTTGGGACTGAAGATAAGTTTTAATGGTTTTAACAAAATCAATATAGTTTCTTGATGGTACATTTTCACGTGTTTCAACGAAAATAAGCATTCACGGAGAAAAAATTCGAGGTATTGCCTAACATTAAATAAATCATGGTGAACAGTCACTCTAAAATCAAAATGTACAATAGGCCTGTCCAAAATGCAAAAGAAAAAGAAACCATAAATAATGAGCTGTGACTTGTCTCGCCAAAATTTTTCTCAATCACAATACAGACACTAAAATCCTTATCCAGCTGCAATGAATAACTTCGGCTGGACCCGACCTATTAAGACCAAAAATAATGGGAAATGCATCATTTTACCTATTTCTTTCATTGAGTTTCTGCTTAGGCTATGTAGCTTGTATATTCATTCTATCGAGACGTTTTCCTCTTCTTTGCCTTATTTGCAGGCGAATGAGTATTCTTCTTTGATCCCCGTGATGGCACTTTCGGCTTCTGAGTTTGTTTTCTAACAGGTTTTACGTTCTCATTGCCATCACTTTCAGCAGAAGTGTCACTTAGAAGTCCGTCGTCCTCATCAGAACTCAGTACCAAGTCCTCCACGATATCTTCATCTCTAGGAGCTGCCTTATCTTGTTGCTCCTTTTTTCTTTTCTTTTTCTTACTTTTCTTTTCTTCTGGTTGCCTCGCCCTAACAATTATAAAGTTTAACCATGGTTCGTTGTGTGCCAAAAAGCCAGCCAGCAAGAAGATGCAGGTGCATGAAAATGTGCCATGTTTATTATGTAACTTACTTGGAATCGCTTCCTGGCAACCAGGCAGAACTAAAGACGGAAGTCCCTTCTCTTCCCTCAATATCCTCATCTTCACTGTCCAACATACTTTCCCCGAATACGGATGAATGTTCACCAACAAGAACGCTGTAACATACAAAATCACACACATCAATTACTAACGCAGGTTCTTGACATTATCTTCAAAACCTTTGCTTAAATAATCAAGCATGTTGAATTATAGATGTTCAACAAGAGCAGAAAACAAGTTATGATGTTAATAGTTATTCTTATTTTTTCCAAAAAGAACATCTTGCCTTTTGTCCTCTAGGTTGTTTTTTTGGCTGTGGCCCCTTTGAATGTCACTCTGTTTCTTATAAATAAATAACAAGCATCCCAATTTTTGTATGTCACCTGATTGGTGTACTCTGTGGAGAGATCTTGAAACCATCTACTCTTGCATCATGATGTTTCTAAGAAATCGAGATGGCATGTGTATCATTGCTGCCCTCTGCTAATTTACAAAATCTATGTACATCGAGTGGCCTATTAATCTCCTAGATTGTATTTTATATATGTGCTATATATATATATATAATTCAAAAGAAAAAAAGAATCCCTTCTCTTGTAATCTCTTGCATGGTTCTCAGCCTCTTTGGTCATCCAGCAGTGTGAAATAGTGTTCCTAGATTTTAAAAACTATTCAATAGTTCTTCTTGGTCAGTTGTGCCCAAGATTTTAGGGAACCAGCTAGATTTCTTCTTAGCTATGTTGAACCTAGAATTTGAGGAATTATTTCGAGTCTTTCATTGCTAGGTATCTAGATTTTTGGTGATTTTTAAGGGGGAAAAGTGATACGTGTAGCAAGTGATTAACGTCAATTGGTAGGATTTGCTCCAAAAGTTACCATAGGGTTGTTCAAATCCATTGCACATCTCTTGCATAATCTCCTTTGGTTTCTTATTGAGAGAAGAATATCTCCTCTTCCTCTTCCTCCTTTCATATATGTTTTTTGATTGAATACAACATTTCTTACAAAGGAAAAAAGAAAAGAAAAAGAAAAAGATGAAGAAACATCTCCGTACAAATAAATATATACCTAGTTTCCATTAAAGAATGTGTTCGTTGCTGAGCTCTTTGACGTAATATTGAGACATACTGAGAGAGTGGGCTGGCCCCTGACTTCTTTTCATCCTAAAACAAAAGGAATGATACTAAAAACCCATTTCACACAACTATATTCTTCAAATATGTAACAAAATTTAATAAGAAAAAAAATATCAACAGGAAAAGACTCGGACATAGTCCTACTAATGCAAGATTAGACTAAGAATAACTACAAAACAACAGGCATACAACTTCCCAAAATTTAAAATCATTTGAATATTGTTAATATTGCAAGGTTAGGTAGTTGTCTTCATAATCATGATATAAATAATAATGAAGAAAATTAAAACCAAAGACTACAAAATTTCCAGGAATAGAACTTGAAGCCACATTGTGCATTCATCAACTTTGTCCTCGACCCCTCGAGGATTTAACTTTTATTCTAATTTATTACTCTCCATCCATATTCCACAAGACACAACCAAAACGACAAAGTTGAAAGGATATTTTTCCTATTATGCTCCTGAGATATTCCATCAAATATCAATGGAATGTTCCACTCACCCATTCAATGTCAGAGTAAAGAACTTCACAAGAAAGAAGCAAAGGAACACAGCATGCCAATTAACAAGGATGGGTGAAGCCTCTTTAAAGATTAGTGTCGAGTGCAAAGGATGGCCTTCAACGCTGTAGTTATTATTATAAAAATAATAATAGTGACAATACTGAATCTGTAGTAGCTCCATATGTAATGTAGTCAAGGATTTTAGAGTAGTATTTTAAGGCAAGAAACTTCCATTTAAACGGAAAGCCATCGCTTTCAAAACATGTTATGGCATAGCAACTATGACATGTAAATATAACAAACTCTACAACCCCAGAATTTAAACATACTCCAAATTCAATTGTGTAGAACAGTGGTCTTCCTTGGAATGATTAGATTTTTTTTTTTTTGGGAAACAAAAGGCTCCAGTGATTCACAACAATGATTGACCTAGAGCATAAATAAATATCCTGGAAGCATCAAAAATACAAATGGCAAAAGAAAAGTCCAAACCTCAAGAAAGGATGATACAGCAGGATCATTTGGTAAAAAGGAAATTGATTTACGCCTTTCATTTGTAAACTCTGAATTTGCCTCAACCTAAATAAGAGAGACCTGAAATATTAATGTACGATAACTTTGCAATGTACGAAATACTTAAACTAATCTGTTAAACAACACTCGGAAGCCTTATTATAGTTCCCTAGAATCCATTCTTATTGTTGTTCTATCTTCGTGTAAATGTTACCCTCCCTTTAGTAGTTATAGTTTCAATGTTCTTTGGCCAATTGGAATCCCTAGAATCCATTCTTATTGTTGTTCTATCTTCGTGTAAATGTTACACTCCCTTTAGTAGTTATAGTTTCAATGTTCTTTGGCCAATTGGAAGACTTTTTTGTAAACTTACTTGGTTAGATGTTTTGGCTTTCCTCTCATTTTTTAAATAACTCACACCACCAATGAAATATTTGTCTCAAATAAAAAGGGAGGCACTTTCTAAGGATTTAGGAAGCATTGTGTCAACCGTTGTAGTGGGCTCAAATTGAAAAGTGAAGGATCTATCTCGTGGTTTAATGGATGTAAAGCTATCTTTATAGTTCCTCTGGCTGGAAAGAAACAGTGGGGCTTTTGATAACTCCTCTGGAGACTCGGCTGGTTTATTTTATACTTCAAGCTCAGTAGCTTTCTCTCAAATTAAGGCCAAATGGAAAGCCTTATTGTAATTATTGGCTCAAGATAGCTCAGTAGCAAATGATTGGAAAGTTGTGATTGTATAATCCGTTGGGGAGGGTTCTAAACTCTCTACCTTTAGGCTGTTCTCTTTTTGTCCTGTTTGGCTTTTTGAATATATTTTGTTTCTGTTTCTTAAAAAAAAGCTCAGTAGCTAACTCTGTCCCGTTCTTGTATCCTGTGCACCTCCACACCCACACAAAAGAAAGGAAAGAAGAAAAAAGGGCAAAACACTTTATTCAAATACACTATTTCTAAACCATCTCTAAAAACTCGGCCTAATTATTGGAATATTTGAGATAAAGTGGGGATTGTTTGTCGTTCATCCTTGAATGTGAACAATCTTGTCTTTCCTTATTTCCCTAATTGTATTCTGGGATCCTATTGTAATTTTCCTAATTCTCTTGCTCAGTGTTCACTATCCTTTTGCTTCTTCTACTTCCCCCCAATTATTTTATAGTATAAGTAAATTTAGTTTCTGAAGAGAAAATATATGCATAAGAAATTTGATAACACCTAAAAAGGATACCTGACGAATAAGCTGCCTTATTTCTTTTTCAAACCTCTGAATTTTTGTGGATTTGCAAAAACTACGCAAGCGCACAACAGGGATAAAAGACAACTCAAAGAAAGAGATGGAATAACTCCATTGAGATAAATGGTCGGCAAGCTCTTCAATAACTGAGAAGACACATGCCTCCTGAAAAGCTCGTGTTTTTAGGGTGGGCTTGCTTACCTGGAAAGGGGAATAACTATATAAACTAAAGATGGAAAATAGTATTTAAAAATAAAAGCAGCAATACACAATAAAGAAACCCTGAGGGTTGAAAAATACCTTCAATATAGTCCGTAAATCAACTGCTTTGCCAACACCTCCTGTTGGAGGTCTGTTTAATTCTTTCATTTCTAGCATGTCTAAAAGAAGCATGGACACAGGTATAAAATTTCCAATAGAAGCAGCTACTCGATTCAGCATCTTAATACATCTTAACCTCAGAGGGAAATATCTAGCAGTTGGTACTAGACGTGCTACTCCAGAAATAATCTGAGTCAGAGGATATGCAAGAGGTTTAAAATCAACTTCTGAGCCATGAGCACACACAGCACCAGTCCAAAGCTCAAGGCAGTTTATGTACTTCCATTCATAAACCTTCCGGAATGCTTCCTGTAAAAATTCATCAAGTTGAAGAAATAAATATGCCATGTTAGACATGGGAAAAAAATGAAAATAAAAAAGAGAGAACATTTCAGCGGTTCTGGTTCAACCAAAGACTAGGATGATTAATAACCAACCCATTATATGATGTCCTAATAAAACCCGCTAATTTATCTTCATACTCGCTATTTTTCTCAACTCCTATCTGTTCACCCCATCGTGTTGTCAATTTTCCATTAAAGGGAAATGGTGCATTGCCAATGATTACTACCCTAAAGAAAATACCACAAGAATAATCCTCGGCCGTCCACTAGAGAAATAATTTTCATATGGAACATAGTAAATAAGAATGGTTTAGGGATAGTTACCTTAGTTCTTGTGTTTAATGCCTCTCTGAGAATCATTGCCAATTGACGGATGAAAACAAAAGCATGTTGATAAGCAGTTGAAAGATCAACACGAAAAAGTTCGATGACACAATTTCCAAGAAATTGAATGTGCTGTAACTTAGCTGCATTTACAAATTGGCAGTTCAAAACATAAGCTTTGTACATCCCTTTGTAGCATTCATCTAGACAATCAGATCCAAGTCGAATACATAAATCTCTTAAAAATAGGAACGAGGTCACAGGGAGAGCACCACCCCCAGTACCCCAAAAGTGAAGGGCAACCTGAAAAAATCAGATAATTAAATCATGTCCTTTGTAAAATTGATAATGACAAAATAATGTGGTGTGAATGGACGAGATTATGATAAATGACATTTCCTCCTATTCTTGGCAATTCCACTAGGCTATGTAGCTCGATTAAAATATCACATCATAGGGGCCTTGGAAATTAAACATTAAGGAATTTGAAAGTAGTGAGTACCTTAATGTACTTTCTTTGAAAGCTAGGAAATGCAACCAAGAACACAGAAGAATATTTGAGGCGTCGCAACGTGAATGATATCATCTCCGTGTCCGTCATTTGGTTAAGAATGTGAAGGGCATTTCCAAGATATGACTTCACAATATGGTTGAATGATTTCCACTGCTTTTTGGTAATCAGGTCTTGTATCGTCTCTTTCTTTCCACCAGAGCTGGGAAGCTTCAGAGATTTCCTTAGTATTCCGTCCATTTTACTTAGAACAACCAACATAATTTTATTGAAAACATTACTGGACATGGTACTAAATTTTGTTGAAGTATCATCTCCGTTGTCATCACCATAATGACATGCAGTCCTAAAAGCTTTCATGAGAGAACGAAGAGCAGCCAATTTTCCATTTTCTTCTATTGAATGACACCAAGAATCAACCATTTCCGTAGTTATAACTCTTGTAGATAGTTTTTCTTCCTTCTCAGAAGCCTCGTGTTCATTGTTATAATTTTCATCTAACTCTTCATCTCGCACATCATCATCAGCATCCACCTGCACCAAATAGCAAGAAATTGAGACAACGCATTCTGTACCACGCAGTTGGAGCATTGGAAGCATGTTTGCAGCTCGAATAACTGTAGTGTACTTACATCAACATCCTCGTCATTAAATTCGAGAAGCTCCTTGTCATGCTCTTTCAAAAACTCGAAAAACTCTGGGTCCTATAAACAAAATAGCAAACAACTTCACACAAAGGGAAGAAAAAGCATAGACGCAGAAAAATAGATCTAAAGTGTTAATTGGCTCCTCTTTAAATTAATTATATAAACAATAATTTCCTGAAAAATGACTTGAGGAAAATTTTCATTAACCAAAAGAAGTATGGAAAAATGAGGATAAGACATTATCACCCATGGAGTTAAGTAGAACTGTCCATGTGGCTGGAATATCAAAAAGAATTGAAAATATTCGGATGAGAAACTTCATCTAGAAACTAAATGAATAATAGTCAGAAAAATATACGAGCTTCTAAAATCTTCTCCTAAAACATTCACCTGTTTTTAGATTTGTACCAAAAATCCACAAGGTGAACTCCATACATCGAGGGGAAATACCATCTATATTAACACCATTATATCGTAAACACGAATGTAGGGAATTCTTCGTGTCTTAAAGGTTATTGCACGTTATACGTGCACTTTTGCGCTTCAAAACCTATCATGATGGGTCCAACAAGTTGCTCAACCTAACCCATGAACGCTCAATAACATTGACTTCAAATTGATCGATAACCAAAATAAGATCATAGCCCATGTCTTCTGTTACTTGTATACAAAACCAGAATACCTTTTCTTGGAGTCTTTGTAATTGCTCAATATGCTCTTTGGCTTGGCCGTGTGTTTTCGGAAGCGCATTCCTCCCAGTTTCCTCTTCTACCTCCCCATGGTTTAGTTCGAGGTCCCGTTTCTTAGCTGCTATCAACACAATCAAACTTTAATTACTCGAAAATACAAATGAACAATAACCACGAGCAGACAAACGGCATTAACAGACAAAAGATTATAGAAAAGAAACGAAAATATGTACCTTTCACACCCATGTTTGATAAGGGACGGTGGAGTGATATCTGATGAAGATGATTTAGAGGTAATCGAAGTTTTTGATTTTTGTTGATGGGAGTTCACGAAGCCGACTCTGGAAGAGCAGTGAGGGAACAGAGGAGGGAACTGAAGGGGGCGGGAGAGGGAAAGTGGGAAATTCGGCTTGATGCCCTCTTCCAAAATCCATCAGTGAAAATACCCTCAAATAAAATATATAAAATAAAAATAAAAGGTAGGTTTTTCATGTTTTACATTTCCTTTCTCAAATTCCATCCAAATTAATTTTAGTTCCGTGTGATGGTGGAGATTTGAACCTTGACGTGGTTTGAGATATATTAGTTATTCTCGTGTTAAAACGACAATACATTACTTTTAAATATGACTCCTACTTTGATACTGTCTTAAATTTTAAACATCATTAAATTATCTATGAATCCAAAAATTTTAATAAGTTACGGTAAATTTAATCGTTTATACGATATCTTTATCGTTGGTATTGATTGTTTTATGAAATTTTTTTAAATAGTTTGATGAAACTGCATTACCTATTTTTTTCAACAACCTACGTCTAGATAACACATGGTTTCCGAACCAAAACATCCTAGATTCAAATCACCACCAAACATATTGTACTTAAAAAAATTGCAATATTCTCTACCTATTCAATTTATGATTTAAGTTTGATGAAATAAAAAATTGTATGTAAGACTAAATTTTTTCTCATGAAATTTGAATAAAACATGAATTTTCCCTCGAAATAAAAAGTTTAAATACTGTTTTATCGTGTATAGTTTCAAAACCTCTATTTTTATTTTCTACTCTCAATTTTGGTATATTTGATTCAAAATATTTTTAAAACGTTTATTTTAATATTTCTAATTTAAAAAAATGATAATTTTAATCATTTTGGTCTCTAGGCATTCAAATCGTCAATTTTAATTTTATACTTTAAGTTGTTGTCTGTTTTAGTCGTTGTACTTTCAAAACATTTATTTTAATATTTGTGTTTAAAACAAAGTAAACATTTTAGTCCCAATATTTTTATTTTGTATCCAGTTTTTTTCCATAACAATTTCAACACAATACTGTATTTAATAAATTTTTTTAAATGTAGTAATAACGTTGTATTAAATGGTTTCCGTTGTCATTAAATTTGTGTTGAACTTTTGTTTTAACAAAAATTTGTATTAAACTTTTAAAATAAAGATTGGCCACTTATTTAAAATATAGGAATCGAGATGGACGTTTTAAGAGTACATTTACTGACTTAAAATACGGAAACCAAAGTAGATGTTTTGGAAACATGAAACCTAAGGGAACATGGGCTAAAAATACCAAAAATAAAATAGTATTTAAACCCAATTTAAAATACTTTTGCTTAATATTCTCATTGCTTCATCCTTCCTTCGAATTATTGATATCGATGATCTTCCCAATTGACAGTTTATGTAATATATAATTACATCAAAATTAAATCGTACGGACTTCTAATTCTCCACTTTAACTATCATATTATTTCATTATTTGATAATACCTCGTAACTATTCCTCGGTATCCAAATTGAGATATATATATATATATATATAGAAGGCTAATATGAAAGTTCATTAGATGTGTAGTCATTTCAACGTTCATGATGTCTCATTGATTCCATGTTATCATAAATGACAAATTTATAGGAAAATAAAGGTGACAAATACAATGAATTGGGTTAAAAAAATCAACTTTATTAATTTTGGAAAACAATCTGTATACATGGAATATCAAACAGTGTTATCTTATCTTGATATCATAAAAGTCCAAAGATTAATTAATTGGAAAAATATCTTATAAATTCCAAAGACAGAAAAAGGAGAGGCTAAACACCTCTGTAATTGTCATTATTCATGATGAATCGAAGAATAAGTGTGCTGTCTTTGGCTCTTTGCAATATTCTACTTGGATATGGTGTCACATTTTTATTCAATATTGTTATTATTATCGAGATTAGTCCATTCAACACCCAATTGGCCTTTGGAATCAATCTTATAAAAAATTATTTATTGAATTATACTACCAACCACAATCAAGATGAACGTCAAGATATCTTACTATTCTACTTTCTTAAGAAGTTCAATCTATCACATTCATATTTATTGTTAAAAAAAAAAAGATTGGTTTATCACCAATTTAAACTATTTTATTCTCTATGAACACAAAAAATAAAATTTAAACTGGGAAGTTGGATATTTATCATTACTTCGATAGTTCAATCATCTACCTCTATAATTGTTGATTTAAAAGCGAACATGATTTTAATCCAATGATAATTGGTATTGTTTCTATTATACTATTTTACTTGTAATTCCAGCCATATAATTATAGTTTTCATGGATCCATCTCAATTTAAAATGTATTTTAAAATTGAGTTTTAAATGAATGTGAATCTTTGTCTAACATGATCTCTAGAGATATAGATACTTCTAATTAGTTAACTTTTTTTTTTCTTTCCTATATAGATAGAGGATCAAACCTCAACCTAAAAAGAAAGAATCAGGTGTCTTAACCGACAAACTAAGTTAAATTAAATATTTAGTTAATTTATTAGAGGCAATCTTAAAAATCTAATTTCAAGGTGATATTAAACCCAACTTAAAAAATTAGGGGACCAAATGTACAATTTTACCTTTGACTGCAACAAGAAGTATTCATATTTACTATTTTGTGCTTCAAAACCCCATCCCACCTTCTCCCTCCCTTGCGTGGGAAAAATGGCTGATTTTCCATTACAGAGGAGCTGAGCTGATTTATTTAAAATAATGAAGATCAAACCTTCAAGAGGTCCCCCACTTCCTCTGCAACTTTCCGTTTGCCTTTTCTGCAATTCATACAAATTTCCGTTGATTTTGCGCTCAAGATACGCCATTGACAGCCATGGCAGAAGCCTTCAAATCCTCCTTCCTCTCGCTCGAACTGTGACGCGAAACCAACGCCGGAAGACAGCACAGCTTCGACCCGAATCCGATCGCCTTCTCGTCACCCAACTCAGTGCCGGCGCCGGCTGTGGTCCTACCGCTGCTGCAGACCGAAGCAGCCCCTGAAACGCAAGGTTCATCGACTTTTCCATTCGTCAAATCCTCCGGCGGATTTTCCTCGCTGTTTAGGAAAGCGAAACTCGCATCGCCGCCGAGGCTCTCCCGGAAGAGTTCTACTAGTTTCTTCCTCCTCTTCGCGGGCAATGGCGGGGATTTGACAGTGGGAAGTTGGTCGTCGCCGCCACTTGCTCGGGGAGTTTCCGCCGGAAAGCGGTGGTGAAGTGGAGTGCTGCCGCAGGAAGGGGTGAAATCTGAATACAAAAGAGATGGTTAAATTACGAATCTTAATCCTATGATTTAAGTTTATTTTCAATTGCTGATTGAAATCAAATAAATCTTCGAAAACTACATGAATCAGAATAAAATTTTGTTTAGCAGAGAGATTTAGAACAGGCAAACAAGGCCTGTAAACAATCACAAAACAGGGTCGGAATATTTTTGCTCTGACCTCCTTTGACACTGAAGAAATCGTCACAATCAGAATCCAACCACGCCCGAGAATCAAAAAACGCTTCTTCTTTACTGCCTAAATTCAGATATATGGATTGAAGGATCATTAAACCCAAAAGAGAAGACTGAACGGAACAGAGAACAAACAGGGCAATGAATGAATGCCATGGCGGAAACAGAGAGCAGAAGAAAACCCAAACCAGAAGGCGTCTTGTGGTGAGATACTACAGAGATGTCTTTAATGGCGGATTCGGTATTGGTTTGTAGCTTAAAGTGTTTGATGGGCGAGGGCGGAATCTCGAACTTGTCCGTCACAGTCTCCGGCGGCGGCGGCGCCTTCACCACGGCCGATCTGCCGTAAAGGGAAGCGCACGAACCCATTTGTCTTCACTTTAAAGCAATTGAAGAAGAAATAAATAAAGACAGATAGAGAAGAAGAAGAAAGAAAAATAAGAGAAGTGGAGGGCATGGAAATGGAAATGGCCAAATGAGAGTTGGACCAAGTTTAGTTTAGTTTTTTTTTTTAATTAAAATTTGAAGAGGTTGATTACTATAACTAATTGGGAAGAAGTTTTTATGGGGAATTGGGTACCCAGTAAACAGAGATTTCAGAGACGAAAGTGACTTTTAAGACTGCAATTTGTGAAAGTAACTGAACAGAAAGCTGTGGGAGGTGTTGTTGCCCATCTTGGGACATGCGACTCAATTATTTTCATGTGCAACGTCAAATTTCACTTTTACAACAAAGCAAAGCAACCCACTCTTATTTTCCAAAATTTTATCTTTACCCTTTTAGAAATGTAATTCATTGAGTTAAAAACTTCACAATCAATTTATGAAATATATGCAATTGAACCAAATCAACGATGTTTCCATTGCTTTATGGGTTTGAAAACAACCATAAATAAGTGAGTTTGACACAAATCTGCCAAATAAATAATTTGTTTAAAACAACCAAGCAAAGTGCTTTTTGGGAAATGTGGTTAAGAAAAATGAAGGGACATCCCAAAAAAGGACCTGAAGGAAATTGACCGGTCAAACACACAGCCCTGACTTTAGAGAAGATCGACCTGGAGGTTTCCCAAAGTGAACCGTTTCAGGAGTTTTATTTTTTATTTTTTTATTAAATTATAAATTTCATTGTTATGGTTTGGGGGAAAAAAATTACCTATAGATATAAGTAAGGAAATTTTGTGAAGTTATTGTTTCTGTCGAAATCTGAAAAAGAGTTTTTGGAATCAAATGCAACATGAACTTGTAAAATAAGGGTTCGCTTGAATTAATAAATGCTCAATCTATTTTTGTGTGGAATTTGTAATTAGATTTGTAAGGTACTTGAGGATAGAATTACCTCTAGTATTTATAGATATTGAGTAGTTGAATTGTCGTCCGACCACACCACTCAGTCCATAAAGAACGGAGGAAATCCAACAACAATTGTGAGTGGGGAGTTGAAGGATGGTTTTGCTTAGTTCAGTTGTCTTAATCCTTGGTTCTCCGATAGACCGTCCCTTAAAATCATGCTATAGATTGATATTTGTGTTCCGAGATCTTGAAGTTCGAATTACTCGTGAGATTAAATATTAGATCGACTGTAACATGTTGTTATCTGACATCAAACTTTTTTTTCTGTTATACTAAACTGTTTGAGACTAAATTGAAACTTTGCCAAAGTTCAAACTATACCAAAACAGTTAAATTTTGTAGTTTAGTCATATCTTTTTCAAATATAATATTATAAATATGGAAAATACATTTTTAAAATAATAGAATAGGATGGAAATTCGAACACAAATTATAAAAACTTATCCAATGCTCAAAGGGAGAATATGCAATAAAAGTTCAATTAAACAAAAAAAGATAAATTTTCAAACATACAGCTTAAGAAAAAGTATATATTAACATTTTAATTAGTTGATAAATAATGATTGAACAATATTTAAATAAGTTTTATCCAATTATGGTTGATGTTGTTGAAAAGGAAACCACATTTTGAAACAAACAACATCAAATATCTTTCTTATCTATAACATAGTGATCCTACTATATTATTTTTTACTATATTTATTAATTCTCTAGATTGGTTAAATCTACATTTATTATTATTATTATTTTTGAAAAATATACCTTTATTAAATATAATACACATGTTGTTCAATATATATATATATATATATATATATATATATATATATATATAATATGCATGAATAAATTAAAAAAGACTGCAAATTAAAATTGTTATTTGAGTTGGAAAAGTGAACATTCAAATTTGTATACTTGTCTTGTCATATTTTTTCAAATAGTGATCAAATAATATGTGAACATCAAAGTCATTTAAGTATTTTAAATGGTCAGTCTAAATAAAATTCAGCCAATTAATACCATACATTTTTTTCTAATAAATTGTTAATTTGAATCTCTATATTATTGAACTTAAAAAGAATTTAGTTTTTTTAGTTTTTAAAAAAAGTGCTATATACCCCGGTTATTAGAGAAGAACAGAAAAGAATTACTTTAACCAAACTTGCAAATAGTTCCAAATGTGCATTAAAATTTAGGTCATAATATAATAAAAGAAAAAAAAACTAATAATCTTGATTACGCGACTTTGCACGGTTTTTGAATCTCTCATGCTTTATCAATTATTAAAACAAAAAAAACTACGTGACAAAAAATGACACGTTTTCCCATGTTCTGAGGGACATTTAATTTTATTTTTCTTAAAAAAAAAATAGAACAAAATATTGCCACGTCAGCATCATGGTGTTGCCTCTTCCTATGTTTGGTTCACGTGGTAGGCTGGCAAGGGCAACCAATTATTCCAATCAATCAATCTAACGGCTTCTTCCCTTGCCTTCTCCCTATTCTTAATTCATATTTTTGGTCCTTTCTCTTTAATTTTTCCAAAATACTCTTAACTCTAATTTTGAAATTTGTTACACGTTTATGTTAGTGCATAATTGGTTAATTTGTATCAAACTTAGGATTTGTCGTATAATTCTAAATTAGCTTACATTTGTTTGGTACTTCATGTCATGCATGTTAGCATTACCATTGATAAAAAGAAGACTTTTAAAAACATAATCTATTAAAGCTTGTAGTGCTTAAAAAAAAGTTAAAATATTAGTTTGGTCCTTGTGCTTTCAGCTTTTCGGTATAGATACGTGTACTTTCAAAATGTCTGTTTTGGTTCTTATACTTTCAAAACGGTTCTTCATTTTTAAAAATGGACTATTTTGATCTCTTAACTTTATTTTTAATATTTTTTTCTATCACAATTTCAACACGACATTATAATCAATATATTTCTTAAAATGTAAATATTATTTTATACTAAATATATTCCGTTATTTGTAGAATTTGTGTTAAAATTCTATAAAGAAATACTAAAATGATCCATTTTTACAAGCAACAAGAATGAATTCAACTAAAATGAATCAAAATTAAAAATATAATGACCAAAATGAACATTTTCAAAGTGAACCAATGCTGAAAATATCGAGACCAAAATAATTAACCTAAAAAAGTGTCATATTTTTATTATCACATATGAAAATGCTGTGATCATAATATGATTTTTTTTAATATATAATATGTTATAATGTCTACAACAATGGAATTTGTTAAGGGGTTCTATTCAGTTTCGATTGGCTTATTAGAAAGTTGTGAGATTGGACAGAACAGTTCTATCAGTTGTGATCTTTCAACTTTTCCATGTTTCCGCATTGATTCCATTTAATTTCATTGCAATAGACAAATTATGTGTACAAAAGTTGACCAGAAAAATAAATTATTCTTAGTCAAGTCAAGGTAACCTTTAAAATTAAAATCATACCATTTGTCATTTGATAATAACTTTGCTTCTTATTTATATATTTAGTCATTATTTATTTATTTTATAATATAATTTTAATTTTTTTTAAAACTATTGCATGATATACAAAATTAAGGGTTATTTGATAAATGGATTTGTTTTTAACGGTATTTTATTTTTTATCCCAACTTAGCAGTTTAAGTTACCTACTAGATTTCTTCCGGATTGAAAATTCAATATCCATCCTGTGGTATGAAAAATATTTTTAGAGTGTGTAGCTTTTTTTTTTCGTGAAATTTGACTGAAATTTTTACTTGAAAGTGGAAACTAACAAGGAAATGTAGTTCTTTTAAAAAGTTTAACTGTAAATTTGGTTTTTCTTTTCATTTTAAACTTTTGTTTATTAAGTTTATTGAAATTTTAAAATGTTTCAAATTATGTCGTCCGACTTTAATTTGTATATATTTTTAGTCTCCGTCATTTATATTAAATAACAAAATGTATATTATATCCAATCAAAACCAATTTATTTGACAACCATATTACCGTTATATTAACGATATGGACAACATGAACTAGATAGAGGTATCATGTATGTAATTAGATTTTTTTTTTTAAATTAAGTACAAGTAAACACAACCCCAAATTCAAAGGGTATGAGACCAAAAAACATATTTATTAAGCAACGCAATTTCTAAATCATTTAACAACGAAATTGTTTGTAAGCAAGTTTAATTAATTATTAAGAAATAAAACCAATAATTAAGATGGAAGAAAAACCTTATGAATAGTGGAGAATATAATGAAAGAATAAATGTGGTTTATGTGGATTTGGTGTCGGCCACGATTCACACCTGACAAAACTCCACCCCCAATCAAAACATTTGTATTTGGTAGCTCAAACTTCATTATCACTTTTTTTATATTCCAATTTTGCAATTATATTCAACAAATGTGATATCAATCAATCTCACTGTTATTTGGAATCAATTTCAGTTGTTAAAATATTTAGTTGAAATGCAATTCTATTAATTGTGTATATATATGATCAATACATGTATCTCTCTGATTTTGGTCAACTTTACTTCTGGTATACATGAAAAAAAATAAAAAACTTTAGTATGATAATTGAAAATTTTGAGTTGAATTATTAAATTTATCCTATATTTTTAATCTGATCATTTAATTTCAATTTGATCTCTTGGATTTTTAATTTGGTGTCTACCTAATTCGTATGTGAATCAATATTATTTTAATCATTAGCTTTGGATGGTGTAAAGGTAGATTATGATTGATAGAAATTAGAAGGAGATGAAAATTAAAAGGTGAAAATGATAATTTTGCCCCGAACACATCAAACTAACTCTATCAAGTTTTGAAATGAATGCATTTGAAAAAATAATAATAATAATTTTGTTATTGGTATTTGGTAGGGATGGTAACAGGACGGGTCACGGGTCATCCCCATCCCCGCCCATCTATGAAATTTTGGCCCCGTCTCCTTTATAAATATATATTGTTTAATTAATTAATTAATTTTTATTACTAGTATAAGAAAAGTGGATAAATAAGCTATTAGATAAGTCTTGAGTATTTAAAAAAATAAAAAATAAATAAAAAGTATTTATAAAATTAATATATAGTAATATTATTATATAAAAAATAGAAAAATTAATAAAATATTAAATGGGCGGGACCATCTCCATCCCGTCTCCGCTGGGACCTCGATTTGATCCCATCCCGGTCAAATCGGGGATTTCCGATCCGTTACGCGGGGATCGGATCCAACGGTTTTTTTTGCCGTGAAAAAATGGATAAATGTGGGTGTGCATGTATATTTTGCTAAGAACGGAAAAAAACATTGTTTTTAGTAAATCTATAATTAAAATAGTTATACGGATACCAACTGCAT